CAAGAAAAGTATTCAAAGAACTTAAAATATCAACACAACTTGAATACTTTCAAAGCCGTCTATGACATAGGTATCGAGATCAAAGATGACCTCGCAAAGCAAAAAGCTACTAACAATAGTAACCACGGTGGCTGGAAAGGAAAGAAGAATGACAATCCTTCTTCCAAAAACGCCCACTCTAGTAACAATGTTAGTACCTTTGATTTCAGTGAAGTTTTAGCCATGGATAACCAAGGATCTAAGAAGCAACTAAGGAAAGACTTCACCCCCATTGGGATGAGTTACGATACTGCCTTTGATCGACTCCATGCTAAGGGACTCATTACTCCCATTGGACCTATTTAAGCTCCCGCACCTGAAAAAAGATTGCCTAGTTGGAATTCAGATGAACACTGCAAGTACCATCAAGGTAGGGGCCATGCTACTGAGAGCTGTTGGAAGCTAAAGGAGGCTATTCAACATTTGATTGATAATAACAAGCTTCCCATGCCTCCAGTTAACAAGAAGAGCGAGTGATGATAAAGCAAACAACACAAGAAAATAGGCGAGCTTCAACGACAAGATTTCGTGACCTCCTTTTCTATTCTTTATTTACCCTTTCCCTAATAAGTCTAGCATAGGCACCTTTCTTTTCCCTTAGATTAATTTTGTAGATTTTTTTTCTTTTCCCCTTTTTAATAAAATGAGCATTTATTTCCTTACATATGATCATTTCATTACATTGCATTGCATTAAAAAAAAAAACCATGTCAAACTAAGCATAAGGTATACCAATGATTTGAGGCACCCCTTGTAGCCACATCATATTACCTTTCATCCTTCAAATATACAATCATTTTTTGATAAACCACTTTGAGCCTCGTCTAACGATAAAACTTTCTTTCTTCAACCCACATCTAAATATCCTTGGGATGGGATGGTGTGTAACTTATGCAATGTTCAAAGAACAAAAGCTTGAGTGATTCAAAAGATTAAAATAGCAATAAATAAATAAACAAAAGTGTACAAAAAGGGCAAGTGTTCCAATGTCTTTGACATGAACATGTCTTTGATATGAACACGTCTCAGATTGCGTCTTTTATCGAGTGCTCGGTACCGTGCCCGGGAAACATGAATGTGAAGTGAATGATAGACCGCATGATCGGGATTGCCCACACTTATAAAAATAAAATAAATGCTAAAGCAAAAGAGATAGCTAAAAAAGAGTAGAAAGCCTCAAGCATTAAAATATAAAGATTCAAAAGCAAGGTTACACACCTTGTGGGGCTTATCTAGGGTCTTGAGCTTTTATCCCTTCCTTCTTCAACCTTTAGCCTAATCACGTTACAACCCTTAAAAAGACCTTTTTGAGCTATACACACACTTGTGCGAGGTTCAGCTAGAGCTACGTTCGGCCTGATTCCTAACGGATACGTAGGCAACCTCACAAAAGGGTGCGGCCGTAATAAACATGAATTTATATTCACATTCACACACTCACACCATGATCATATCAAGGGATCCCTTGTGCTCATCCCTATTCATTTAGAGCTAGACTTGGGGGCTTGATCTCTATATCATTAGCTTGCCTAGCCTAAGAATCACCATCATTTGACTCTTCATGAAATAATATCTTCCCACACACTTAGCCCTTGCAACCTAGCTTAGTGTCACTATCACACACATCACAAATACATGACCAAATATACCTCACCTTAAGAACCCTTTGCCATGAAATCTTAACATAACGCTAAAGCATGCCTTGTCATATCAACATCAATCATCATTACATCACAAAGTATGAAGTACTTAGCCTCCGCACCTAAGTTACCTAAATACTTTCATTATCGAGTCAACTAGGATAGTCCAAGATGTTACAATCCTTTTACTGTGAGAGACAACGTTAACGGATTAAGCTCATTCAACATGCACCTTCAAAAACTTCGCTTCGTTCTTTTTCGCGTCTTTCTTTTTCAGGAGAAAGTCGGTACCCTCCACAAAAATGACGGATTTTTTTTTTTGCATTTTTGAGTCGCACGATCACATTACAATGCACACACGAGTCATGAGTCACACGTGTCATTTCACTTTGAGTCATGTCAAGTGAATGAGTCAAGCAACACTAAACCTTAGGTCAACCCTAAAGAAAGATAAGCAAATTCCTATAGTAAAAAATGTAAATGCAGGTGCATCCCAGCAAGCGAGGACATTCCCGAATTTTTTTCGAAAAAATTGCAAATATGACACAGGATATTCCTCCAAGATAAGAGGAGTTACATTGATCGGTAAATTAGAGATGAAGATCTTTAATTTACATAAGATTTGAGCAGATTTGGTTGAAAAGAAACAACCAAGTTCAAAGTTAAGAGCAAAACCGAGCAACAGCGGCAGCAACAACAAAATAGGGAAGACCCGACTCCAGCGCCAGAAAACAACATCTGGCGTCTGGCAATAGATTTCAGCGCTTGGCTCTAGATCCCAACGTTTGGCGACGAAGCAAAATCGCGGCGTCAGAGATATTTCAGTAGCGACAGGGCTCGAAGCCTCTTAGAACAACAATTTTGGGTTCCTTGGTACACCAGTTATCCCCTATAAGCAATTTGACATGATTGAGTAGTCGATTTGATTACAACCGTAAATAAGTGATCAACCTGATGAAAGATCGTCTCACTTAGCTTAAAGCGCCTAAGCATTGGCTCATCACAAAGGAACCGACATACTGGTTTAGAAGCACCGACATAATGGTTCACAGCACCGACATACTGGTTTACAAGCAGCAGAAGCGCCGACGCACTGGCTAGAGCAAAGTTCAAGCGAGCTTTAAAGATCGACAAGCGTTGGTCTTTGGTAGTTTTCTTCGGAATATTATCGCAACAATTGAGAATCACTTCAAGGGAGGTAATCTTCGACGGCATTCGCTAAGATTGTGGAAGTTGTCACCAATAGATTTTAGAAGATATCACGAGATGGGCGGTCTTCGATGACATTCGCTGAGATTGTGGACGATGTCATCCAAGATTTGAGAAGATAACACGAGATGGGCGGTCTTCGACGGCATTCGCTAAGATTGTGGAGGTTGGCATCCAAGATTTGAGAAGATAGCACGAGATGGGCAGTCTTCGACGGCATTTGCTAAGATTGTGGAGGTTGTCATCAAGATTCGAGAAGAGCAGTTCATGATGAGGCGGTCTTCGACGACTTTTGCTATGATTGGAAAGGTTGTCACTATGATTCGAGAAAAAGGCTTGAGATGTAGCAGCAAAGGATCGTCAAAACAAATAGTAGGATGGCATTCCCTAGCTTGCGAAAGTTTATCACAATCGCAACAATCGATTACCTCCAGAGACGTGTGCTCGACGGTGCAAGATACGCATTTCTTAACTCTCTTATCTGTTTAACTAACGCTAGTTTTGCAGGTATCGGCGTTATAAGAATAATTTAGGATCGCAGAACGTTCTGAATTATTCTCCGTCCCTTTCGATACGTTGACTTTTGTTTTTGAAACTTGCGTTTCTCCAAACTCAGTCAAAGTGGGGGTTTCTGTAGACACCCATTTGTGTCTCCCCAAAACCAAACCCAGTGATGAGTACCTTTCACGTTGAATCATAATCGGATGAAGTGAAAGTGTGGAAAGTCTAGTGTTGCGGCTAGTTTTTAATTTTTTCTCTCTGTTTTTGAAAACCTATTTTTAAGAAAACAGACAATCCAGATTGTTGTGGTTCATGGCAAGGGTCCAATGATAGCATAGTTGGGTCGGGTTCCAAAATAGATTTCCAATGATATATTATAAGCCCAATTCCGATGAATAATGAGGAAGTTATGGCCAAATTAGTAAACTGGGCCCGATTTGATCTTTATGTGCGGCCCAATGATCTAGAGGAGGGCTTAATATTTATTTATCACTAGGGCGGTAAGCGTGCGCTACGCGCGCGTTGCTAAGTTGTAGTATAATGTGTCATTCGTGGTTAGAGTTGTGACAATGTGGGGGGTTTTCATTTTCGTAGTTCTTGAAAGTTATGAGTTTGAAGTGAAAATGTTGATGAAATTTGTAAATACAAATTGCTAATGACGGATTATGAAAGGCGAAAAATAGGAGTGTGATTTATTAAGGAATTGTTATAAAGTGGTTATTTTGATTGTTAAATTTTTTTGTAATAATAAGTGTGAGTGAATTTGGAAAGATTGGAAAGTTTAAAAAGTAAAATAAGTGTATAGTTTTACACTTTTTTATGGCATAGAACAAGTTATGTAATTCAATTTATAAGTTATATTTGCCGGACAATTATTTAAAGGTTTTTATCTTATTATAGCATAGATAGCTTGTTCTTGTGATGTCTTATGTAAGAGAGGTCGGGCTTTAAAATGTTAATATGTGTCACTTCTTCCGCCCGCATTTTTTTGTCTCATTTAATTTTTCACGGTCCCCAAGACGTGTTTTAAAATGTACATATCTAATTCCATGCACTAAAAAATAATAAAATTTTGATATTAATAAAAAATAAATCCAAGAAGACTGCTAGTGTGAACTTTAAGGGGTCATTTGGTTCATTAGGGAAGTGTAAATTCCCATAAAATTTCAATTTGTGGGAAATAAATTCCATCATCAAAAGCATGGAAATTCAACAAATTTATTTGGTTAAGAATGGAGGAAGTAATTTTCATGACACGATTTTTAGTACCTGAACATCTTATAGTACTTCGTATAAAAGATTAAGTGGTCTCTTTATCACTTTATCCTTATCCTAATAAGAAAATTGCCTTAATTTTCTTTCTCAAGCTAACTTTCCTAATTACCCTTTTCTTAATTAGTCTCTTGATTTTCTTAAATGATATTTCTTTTCTCAAGTGACTTTTCTTCTTAGGTGATCGTTCTGCTTAAGTAATCTTTCTTTTCTTAAATGAGTGGTCTTTCTTCTTAATTGTTTTTTCTTAAGTGGTCTCATTCTCTCTAGCATTATTTTTATTTTTCGATACCAAAATGTGTCACAAAGGTGCAAGAATTACTGCCCAAAAAAAGTCCATGAATAATCCCTATCTTGTAAATTCAAGTACGGGTGTGAGCCGTGAGTGTATGATCTTACATGTCACCCTAAAATCAAAGTTTAAATAATGTATAATCACCCGAGTTTCACATTATTCCCATCATAGTCGACGGTCGTACATCCCGCTTGCTGGTTTTAGGTTTTTGCAGCCAGCGAGGTGATCTAAGAATTACCTACTTCAAAGCTTCATATTCATAATATTTGAGGTGTAATTGCTTTTGCAAGGATTTTTGCTTGTGAGACCTCACTTTCTGTGATTGACTTTCTGTCACTTACCTGGCACAAGCAAAGCAAAGGATCAGTTAAAATAATTTCTTTAATTCTTTGTATGCTTAAATGAAACAAAACGCATAATTTTTTTTCTTTAATTTTTTGTTATACCTAAGGCGTTCCTAAAGTTGTAAATGTGACTATTTATTTTCGGACAGGAGTAAACGTTAGGATGTGTTATATTAAGCGAAATAAAATGATAGAAAACTTTTTACAATTTATCTTTGGATGATAAATTGATTTAAAGTTGTAAATCCTTGCTGACACCTTCCCCAACAGGGATCTCAAAATGAACTATATATCCCTCTTCTTGCTGTCATCCATTGTATAAAATGATTGAAGACACTAATTAGTAATAATTACTTGATCATTACATTTCTAGTACAAAAATTGGGGATAAATCACTAATGTATATGCTTACAACGAACATATATCACGCAAGCAATCAATTACACAACATAATGAATCAGATGACTATCAATATTCAGCCTCTCTTCCAATTTAAGCATCAATATATAAAATAAGAATACATTGATCATTACATTCCTAGTACAAAATCCAGCATTTGATGTGGCAATTTTTCCCCAAACAAACAAAAGATGTGGCAATTTTTCCCTACACAAACAAAAGATGTGGCAATTTTTTCACATTGATCTATAATTCAACAAAATATATATTCAATAATGGAGCTATAATCAATTCATATAAAGAGATCACTGCACCAAGAACCCTAATTACCCTTCTTTATTTTTTTTACAGAAGGAACCCTAATTACCCTAATAACACCATGAATCACAACAATAACAAGATTATACCTTGAGCAATACAGTATCACCACGAAAGAGCTGAAGCTTTTCCATAGTATAAGGTTGCATGGCAACAACAAGACGGCTTCATCAAGAACCAATCGATTCGGCGATTTCTTGTGCTCCAGAATCGCAGTACATTAGTCTTTTTTCACGCTCTTACTGTTATGAGTAAATTCAATCGGAACCTAAAATTTGCATGTTTTTCCAAAATTGGTGAAATCAATTGTTTCAAAAAAGAGTAAAATTTAGAATAAAATCGAGATCGTTGAAGAAGTAAACTTACTCGGAGGATTCAGGAAAAAATCAAAGAACAACCCACATTGTGAAATCAATTTTCGATGATTCAAAACAAAACATTACCTCATTGTGTTTGTGAATGACGGATTCTCTTCTAAGTGATTCTTCAGAAGACGGCACCAGACCACAATCCTTGCTGAGCAATTCCGTTCTTCATTAAAGCGGCTTTTATTCTTTAATGGAGAATCATGTCTTGCTGAGAAATTCCGTTCTTCATAAAGAGGAGAGAGAATTAGGTGAGCATGGAAGAATATAGAATTGAAGTAGGAGAAGAGAGGGAAACATGTGTCGCTGCAAGGGAAAAGAGGACCACCCATGTGCACATGCAAATAAAATGAAGGGCAATATAGGAAGACCACTGTAGATAAGGAAACCAAAGGCAAAATACAGAGGTAAAATCGGCAGGACACTGTGGGGAATAATTTCAAGCGTTAATCCCCTAGCTTGAACCCCACTGTGATCATACACTAAAGTACGGTGGCGTCCAAAAGGGAAGAAGATAGAGAAAAAGAGTCACCAACAAGTTTTAGGAACTTGTAAACCGTTCATAGGGTGAAGGTTACACCCCTTAACGATCCAAGAGATCGTCAACTCCATAAGGTCTTGAACCTAATAAAGGTTCGGGGATGAAGGTACAAATCCAACCTAAAAGAGATTGAACCTGCCCTAATAATAGGCCTCTACTTTATTCTGATCGTATTCATGTGCGCTTTTTGACTAACATACAATCAATAGGATTAACCCTAAACCTATTTAATCTATGTTGGTTGAATATAAATGCACTAATAAATCTATTATTGGCGATCACTTGAAATTATAATCATAATTAACCCAAACAAGATTATTAATTATCTTATTAAGCGTGATTACAAGTACCAATTCCCTTTAAACATGCATAAAAGGCGTGATCAAGCAATAACAATAAATACCATCAAGCAACATAATCATCATAATATTATAAAAATAATCATATTCATAATCATCAAAACAATAATCATAATAATAATTATCATAATAATAATTATAATAAAAATAATCATGTTAAAGCATAATAATAGCAAGATCCTAGGCATGATACTAACAAGATTAATAACAAACCCTAGCATGTCACTAAGCAATAAAAATCAAATCTTTAGCCCTAACATGATACTAACAATCATAAGTATTAGGAAGAACATAGGAAGCATCATAACAATCATACTTAATATTAAAATTACCCTAGACATGATACTAGGAATCATAATTGAAAGAGATTTGGGACCAAACCCTCGGAAATTAAACCTTTCACGTCTAGGGAGAAGGCAACTTCGAATACGTCTAGGTGTATCTAGATCTAATGAATGCAGAATTTTGTATGTAAAAGGCTAGTTTAGAAAAAGAGAAAGAGAGAGAGAGAGTAATCAAGAGAAACTTGATGAGAGTTCGTGAAAATAGAGAGAGAATTGATGAAAACTGGTTGAAACTAGTTGTAGGTGAAAACTGGTTATCGAAAATGGAGTTTTTAATACGTTATTTATAGAGAAAATCAGCCAAAAAGATAAAATATCAAAACAGAGTTTGGCGCACGTAGCTGGGGTTTGGCGCTGATCTGGAAAATTATGCGTTTTCTTAAAATCAGATAAAAATTGCCGTACAGGAGGATAAAATCGTATTTCCCTAAAAAAATGATCTTTGGTTTTAATTAAAACTCTGAAAAGTCAACAAAAGTCAATTTATCAATGTTTATTGAATTAAGAATGTAAAGAACCTTCTAGAAGAATCTAGAAGACTAAAACCATTCCTAATTGCATTAGGAATGATAAATCATTAGGCCCTCCCTAGATCATTGGGCCGCATATAAGGCACAAACCGGGCTCAGTTTTAGTAAATTGGCCATAACTTCCTCAATATTCCTCGGAATTGGCTTATAATATATCGTTGGAAAGCTCTTGTCAAGCCCCATACAACTACACTACTATTGGACCCTTCTCATGGACCAACCAAACTGGATTGGCAGTTTTCTTAAAATAAGTTTTCAAAAAACTAAGAGAAGAGAAAAGAAATTAAAACTATCCGCAACACTAAACTTTCTACACTATCGCTTCATTCGATTATGATTCAATGTAAAAGGTACTCATCACTGGGTTTGGTTTTGGGGAGACACAAATGGGTGTCTACAGAAGCCCCCATTTTGACTGATTTTTGAGAAACGCGAGTTTCGAAAACAAAAGTCAAAGTATCGATAGGGACGGAGAATGATTCAGAACGTTCTGCGATCCTAAACCACTCTTGTAACGCCGATACCTGCAAAAATAGTGTTAGTTAAATAGATAAAAGAGTTAAGAAACGCGTATCTTGCACCGTCGAGCACACGTCTCTGAAAGCAACCGATCTGTTTCTGTATTACTGTTTTGATGACCTCCTGCAAGCTAGAGAATTCCATCCTGCTTGAAAACTGCTACGCCTGTAACTGCTTCCAATATGAAAGACTTCTTCGCTTGAAACGATCTTCCTCCGCTATGATAATATTCCACGTCCAAGGGAATACTATCGAAGATTGTTTCATTTGAAACAATCCTCATCCGCATTGACAATATTCCACGTCCAAGGGAATACTATTGTATCTCTCCTGAAACAATCTTCATCCGTATTGATAATATTCCACGTCCAATGGAATACTATCGAAGATTATTTCTCTTGAAATCACCTTCAGTTGCTTTTTGACAACTTTCCACAATCCATGGAACGCCATCTTGCCGCTTGTTTTGACGATCTTCTGTAATCTAGGGAACGCCGTCGATCAAAGTTGCTACATCTCGAGCCTTTTCTTGAATCACAGTGACAACCTTTCCAATCATAACAAAAGTCATCGAAGACCGCCTCATCATGAACTACTCTTCTCATATCTTGGTGACAACCTCCACAATCTTAGCGAACGCCGTCGAAGACCGCCCATCTCGTGCTATCTTCTCAAATCTTGGGTGACATCCTCCACAATCTTAGCGAATGCCGTCGAAGACCGCCCATCTCGTGCTATCTTCTCAAAAAAAATTTCAAATCTTGGTGACAACCTCCACAATCTTAGCGAATGCTGTCGAAGACCACCTATCTCGTGCTATCCTCTCAAATTTTTTCTCAAATCTTAGTGACAACCTCCACAATCTTAGCGAATGCCGTAGAAGACCGCCCATCTCATGCTATCTTCTCAAATCTTTGGTGACAACTCCCACAATCTTAGCAAATGTCGTCGAAGACCGCCCATCTCGTGCTATCTTCTCAAATATTTGGTGACAACTTCCACAATCTTAGCGAATGCTGTCGAAATAACTTTACTTGAAGTCATCCTTAGTTGTTGCGATAATATTCCGAAGAAAAATTTCCAAAAGACCAACGCTTGTCGATCTCTAAAGCTCGCTTGAACTTTGCTTCCGTTAAAACCAGTATGTCGGTGCCTCCGTGATGAGCCAATTCTTAGGCGCTTTAAGCTAAGTGAGACTATCTTTCGTTAGGTCGATCACTTATTTGCGGTTGTAATCAAATCAACTACTCAATCATGTCAAATTGCTTATAGGGGATAACTGGCGTACCAAGGAACTCGAAATTGTTGTTCTAAGAGGCTTCAAGCTCTGTCGCTGCTGAAATATCTCTGGCTCCGAGAATTAAATCTGTCGCCAGGCACTGGGATCTAGCGCCAAGCGCTAAAAACTATTGCCAGACGCTAGATGTTTTTGTCCGGCGCTGGAGTAGGGTCTTCCCTATTCTGCTGCACCTGTATTTATATTTTACTATAGAACTTTTCCAATATCTTTAATTATCTTAGGGTTTACCTAAGGCTTAATGTCGCTTGACTCATCGACTTGACACGACTCAAGGTATAAACTTGACTCGATATGTTTGACTGACTCGAGGTTGACTCGACTCAAAGTGAAATGACACATGTGTTAGACTCAAATCAAGGTGATATGACACGACATGACTCAATGTGTACATGAATCTTTTGTGCATTGTAATGTGATCGTGCAACTCGAAAATGCTAAAAAGCAAAAATTTTCTGTCATTTTTGTGGAGGGTAACCGACTTTATCCCGAAAAAGAAAGACGCGAAAAAGAATCGAAAGTTTGAAGATGCATGTTGAATGATCTTAGTCAAATGTTATTTGATACTATCTCTCAAGGTGCAAGGATTAATCCATCCTAGGCTATCTCACTGTTGACTCCATGATGAAAGTATTTGGTTAACTTAGGCACGGAGGCTAAGCACTTCATACTTCGATGTAATGACAATTATGAGTGATGAGCGATTTTGATGTGACAAGGCATGCTTCAACTTTATGTTAAGATTCCATGACAAAGGGTTCCTAAGGGAAGTATATTTAGTCATGTATGTGTGATGTGTGTGAAAGTGACACTAAAGTTAGGCCGCAAGGGCTAAGTGTGTGGAAAGATATATTGAAAAGAGTCAAACGGTGGTGACTCTTAGGCTAGGTAAGCTAATGATATAGGGATCAAGCCCCCAAGTCTAGCTCTAAGTGAAAAGGGATGAGCATAGGAAATCCCTTGATATGATCATGGTGTAAGTGTGTGAACGTGAATATAAATGCATTTTTATTACGGCTGCACCTCGGTGTGAGGTTGCCTACGTATCCGTTAGGAATCAGGCCGAACGTAGCTCTAGCCGAACCTCACACAAGTGTGTGTATACCTCAAAAAGGTCTTTTTAAGGGTTGTAACGTGGTAAGGCTAAAGGTTATAGAAGAAGAGGATAAAGGTTTAAGACCCTAGATAAGCCCCAAGGTGTGCAACCTTGCTTTTGAATCTTTGTATTTTATGCTTGAGTTCCTACTCTTTTTTAGCTCTTTTTGCTTTAGCATTTATTTTATTTTAATAAGTGTGGGCAATCCCGATCATGCGGTCTATCACTCACTTGGCATTCATGTTTCTCAGGCACAGTACCGAGCACTCGATAAGAGACGCTATCTGAGATGTGTTCATATCGAAGACATTTTCATATCAAAGACATTGGAACACTTGCCCTTTGTACACTTTTATTTATATTTTGCTTTCGGTTATTTTTATTTTGATCTTTTGAAATCACTCAAGCTTTTCAGAATAGCATAAGTTGCACACTGTCCCATCCAAGGTTAGGTAGATGTAGGTTGAAAAAGAAAGGTCTATCGTTAGACGAGGCTCAAAGTGGTTTATGAAGAAAGGATTGCATATTAGAAAGGTGAAAGGTAATATGATGTGGCTACAAGGGGTGCCTC